CCCCAAAACCCCAAAACCCCATTAGTCCTAATGCTAGCTATTAAGTGATTTTCCAAATATAATCTTTTTTAGTTTTCATTAAGCTTAGAGTTAGAATGAATTCATTATAGCTTTGGTGAGTACCCTCTTAACTTTCTAATTCTCTACTCATTGAATACAGAGTCGAGACATTCCAATATAATTTTGTCTGCTCGTTACATATCTTACTTTTCATAAGGTTAGGGACTTTTAACAGGTTTGTTCTCATTTTATTTATCTACAGATATTATTCTATTCCTTGTTTATGATCTAGTCATAGAGTTGAAATACCTTCTATTCCTAGATTCTCTAATATAGGTAACTATCTGATTAGGCTATACCTCAATATAATTATTTGAAGAGGTCTTTTTATGGCTGAACATTAAACTCCTGTAAACTTAATTATTTTAAGGGCTAATATTCTAGAGATCAAGTTACTTCTTATGTTCATAATACTTTGGGTTTAGCTGCTTAACTTATATTTTACTTAGAAATTCTTCACTCTTTTAGCTCACTCGTTGAAGCAGATCCAATGGCTTTTACTGTTTTACTTTTAAATCTTCTTTAAGCTTAAGATTCAGATTTCTATCATACATTTTATAGAATGGATGTTATTTCATATCAAATCGAGAAGATAAGCTATTATCTTCAATAAGTTTCAAGAGGTCTTAGTCGGTTTCATCTATTTCAATATGAGTTAGTTTTTCTTGCTCCTCCTGCTTTATGTTTGATATCCTTCTCATCAGGCCATTTATAAGCGAACTTTTCATTTGAAAGAGCCTTTTTTCTTGCATCTATTTCTCCCTTTCATCCTCTATCTTTTATTGCTCCAATTCTTTAATTGAAGCTAACTTTTCTAGTTACTCTTGAACCAAGCTTTTCAAATGAACTCTTGGATTTAGTCCTTAATCTTTCAACTCTTTTTAATCTGCATTTGTTAAAACAAAATTATTTGCGTAGTACTTATTCTAGCAGAAGACACTGGTTATTGGAACTAAATCATTCTTGAAGAAATCCTCTACTTACTAAAGGGCTGTAGGCATATTTTTGTACGATTTAGATTTTTTTTATAAAATTTTAACAGTATTTTCAAATTCTTGACTCTATCTAAACTTTGAGCATTTGTAGAACTCTCTTTCATTTGACTTATCCTTTTATCTTCCTGGAGAGCCATCAGAAGATTGCTAAGGCATATCATCAAATCTTGACACTACACCAGATCCTGACACACTATCTTCGTAGCTTTTTTCAATTAAAGAAATTTGAAGATTCTTAGCAGATTGTTTATCTTGATTTTTATTTTTTTAGACGAGTGAGGACTAATACATTTTAATGCCGACAGGTAAAAGTGGACTTTAAATTTTTTAACCCTGAGAAGATTAAACATTAAACATAAGGTTTTTATGTTAAGCCTTCATATGCTTTAAAGACATTATTTGCTCAGTGAAGTTAGTCTCATTTGTAAATGCTCTTTTAGGGTTTGATAATTGATAATCAAGATCATTGTTTAACTCATTTGAATTTTAATTAATTTATTGGGAATTAAGGTTAGAATTTGCTTGACCTCCACCGCTTGATTAATCCTGGAATAAGAGATTATTATTTAAATTCTTAGAGGACTTTATCGAATTATTAGCAGTAAAAATCATCCTTCAATCATGATTCATGTTAGGTGATTTAAGGGTGCTTAGAGTTTTTGGGTACCTTTGATTCTATTGTAACTTTCCAGCCTGATAATTTTATACCTGAGTGTTAGGATGTTCTTTAAGTTATTACTGTCTCTGCTATTATTAGTTAAAAAATTGACCATCACCTATCTTTATATTAAATTTCTGCTTCATACCTTGACTAGATCCCACAGTTGAATTCGATTTATGATAGTTAGTAACATCTTCTTAAGGAGTATGAATTTGAGTTTAGGGTTTTTTATGTGGCAGTTTGTATGTTTATTTTTAAATGAATGAATCTACCGGTGTCTAGGATTAGATCTCTTTAAAGTTAAACTGAAAATTTTTCAGTTAAATTTTAGGACTTCAGTTCATTTGAATTGGTGTTTATGCATTTTAAAGGTAAGGTTGGACTATGGGTACAATCAAATTATCCTTAGTTGATTGCCTCAAAATAAAATGATTATTAGATTGCGAAGCACTCCCATTAAAATTTATCATTCTTATTTATCTTATATTCATTATTCTCGAATTCACTAAATACACATTATCTTCATGTATTTAGACACAGGGGTTTTGGGGTTTTGGGGTTTTGGGG